TGAGATAACTGGGGAAGTATTTTATCCTAAAGCTTTCATCATTGGCTATTTCTCCGGCTTCGATCATATAACGAGCCACATGTTCGACAGTAGACCCCGTCGTGTCTCCTGAGAATATTGTGAATTTAAGCACCTTTGTCCTGGGAGGTAATTCTGACTGGAGAATATAATCTATTATCGGTGACGTGTAATTTGGCCTAGTAAAACCAGTGTTTACCCCGTTTTGAGCCATTATCCTTTCGACCATGGTTGCTAAGTTATTATCGACGGCCATGTTATTACGTTGAACCTGCTGGACAAAATTGTCTGCATCTTGGTTCCAATTTGCCATGATTACCTCTGAGTTTCTTTCTACCGGGATTGGTATTTGGGCCCTTGGTGGTTCGACTCTGTGTGGTTCGAGTCTGGGGAGTTCGACCCTCCCTTGATTCTCTAAATTGGCCTCAGGTAGGTTCCCTAAGTCCTGACGTGGAATGTTTTCCACAATAGTTGTGTTTCTGACAGTGACTGGTAAACCCATAAATTATGTCATACATGTCAATTGCACTGCTAAGTTGGTTAGTTTGAGTGGTATTTTGGATCAGAGGTTGAAAGATTTCACCCATAGTTTGGGACAAAGTTTGAACCATTTTCAAGTTGCTCTCATCCATTTGTTGTCTCAAGCACACTATCAAAGTATTGGTTAGATTAAGGCCTTGAGTGGAATATCCTAAACCTAAAATTTGGTTGTTTCGACCAATGTTTAGCCCAGACCTTGATCCTTGTAATAGTCAAGCCATCGCGTTGTCTGAGAATATTGGGGAAGCATTCTGGAGGCCTTGCATTACTGTTGTTGGCATTCCATATGACGGGTTTCTTGGTAATAGTTTTGGAAACCCTATATGAACAAATTGTCTAGACGTCGAATTTCCTCCTGGCGGAGTTTGGGGATTCGACGCTTGAGGTCCAATATATTCCAACACAGGCTAGGTGTAGGCTCTTATACTTGTTGATCCCGGCCCCAATATTGATGGCACTGGTTCCAGTCTCACGGGAGGCGCTATCTGCTCTCCAGTCGAAGGTACTGAGAGTGGAACTACGTCATTTATCAACCCCTCATGAGGATTAGTGCTGCTAGGCTGAAGATTAGAACCATCTCCTCGAAGGTTAGGGTTACTTGGCTGATTTGTATATGTCGCCATATCCCCAGTGTAATTTCTTCTTGGTCTTTCTTCGTTTATAACGGCTATCTTGCCACTTCTTAATAACATATAACAAAGTTTTATAAAAGACAAATTAAAAATGTTGTTTTTGCAAACTTTTGTGCAAAAAACTCACGAAAACATTTAGCACTGTCCCACTAGGTGTGTCATTTTTTCCTATGAAAATTGGAAAACAACTGCTAATCTTTCAAATCTAACTTCGGTGAATCACAGGATCGATCAGATTGATCCTAGGACATGGGCTAAATTTTTATGTGAACTAAGTTATCTAAACTACACACTTCGACAGTATTTTGAGAAAAAGACTTGATGTAAAGGTAATGTCCGACTGAAGTAAAAAGGATGTAAATTTGCAGAAAACGAAGTAAAGAACTTTAACAAGTATTTAACATAGCGAAGCGAAATGCTTGGAAGATGTAGATTGCAAGAAAAGTAAAGACAAAATCTTTAAGATTAAGCAAGTAAATTAAATTTCATTGAAAGTAAAGATGGTGTGTTTACATAACGTACATTCTCCTAGAACTCGTTTCTCTACGCTTGGATACTTTGAGTGATTTTGGGAGTAACTTGTACAAATAGTAAATTACAACACACTGAATTCTATAGCTGGAACTCTTATTTATAATAGTAAAATTAATTGTTGTTAACTTCCTAAAATCATCAGCCTCCGAAAAATGTCATATTGCATGTAATCACTTGCTAAATGAACGCCACTTGTCCTGCTTAGTCATGAGAAAGCATAATTACTCCCTCCTTTATTTGAATTTCAAAAACTACACTGATTACTCAGCCAACATCTCGGTCGAAGGTAGCTTCCTCAATATTTAGAAATTTTCTCTAAGTCCCAAACGCTTGAATAACCCATCCTGCTCGAAGGTCTCCACACTCGAAGTCTTTTACATTTCTTAAAGATCTTAATATTTTATTCAAATATTTAATCTCAATATGAGCGTCGAATTTGTGAGTTAACAACACTCCATTCTACTTTATCGTGTATTTCGACTTCATTTATATATGTCATTCTTTTACCATCTGGATTTATATATGTCATTTTTTGCATATTGATCGTATGGTTTAATGCTCATCATATAACATGACCCTTAGTATTTATAAATCATCATCTTCATCAGAATGACCATAAATAAAACATAGTTTGCAGTGTTCTAATAGGTACGAAGATGCATCTTCGTCAATTCTAAATGGAGATACATCTTCGAAACAATAAACGTGTAAAATGGACCTTTTAGAGTGGAATGCATGGTGTATGTTTTAAAATATTTTTGAGATGCATCTCCGAATTAGTTAACGTTTTGACTTTAACAAGATGCGTTCGGAAATATATCTCTGAAATCTAAGGTACATTTTGAATTTTTTATTGGGTGTTTTTCCACCCTATAGGATGGAATAAGAAACTCCCATAATATATCGGACATTATATAAAATAAACATATAACGGTTTTTTATATAACATTGTTGTCGTGTTAACATATAGTGTCGGTCCAATTAATCAAGAAGTCTCATTTTAATTTTAAAAATGAGTTTAAATTAAAAAAAAATTATAATAATTATAAATAATGCATTAAAAATATAATTATATATTAATAAAAAAATTAATTATAATCGTTTTATCTTTTGATCTTTTTTTTATATGTATCAGATTTTAATTATGAGATTTTTTACACATTGAGATTTTATTAACATATTTGTTTTATATTTACTAGCGTTCAAATAGACATTCGCGTTTAGATGGACATTTGCATGTTTGTCTGTCCATTTTTTTAATACGTATAAATAAAAACATAAGTCATATATTTTATTTAAATTTAATTTTTTAAAACTTTAATATGTGAAATTTAATAGTAGAAAGTTATGAGAAAGTTAGTGGTTTAATAAATAAATTACACAATAAAGGGTCAAATTAATAAATAAAGACTAAATTAAAAAAAAATACCTAATCAATAGTTAGTTGGTTCAGTGGTGATTAATGCTAGACTTGGTAGAAAGGATCACGGTTCAATCTCTCGTAACTGCGATCGAAAAGAGACCGAAATCACTTAATGTTAAGTGTAGATTATATTTTTTAGACTCAAATATCTCATGAAACTTAAGCTAAATAATTTGCACAAATGTATGCACGATTATATTTTTATCGTTTTTTCTTATAGTTAGAATTATTTTTCTGATGTTTTCTATATGTACTCTAGATTTTTTTTAAAAAAATTGTGTGGAATGCTTTCAAATAATTAGCATATTATGTCATATGTATATGAGTGAATGATAACGGGCAAGAATGTGATGCATTGATAGAGAGAAAACATGGGTTAAAGATGAAGTTGAGTCTCGAGAATCAGGGGTGTGTATAGCAGGACAACACGTGATTTGGAAAAATGTTGAGGTGAGTCATAATCTTATCTAATCACTAAGATCCTCCCCGAGGACAACTTCATTTGTATGATCAAAATAGAATCCAAGGATGAGTGTATCAGACTCAGACATACTTCATTCATGACAACCACTTTCCAAAAGTCTTCATTTGCATATATTCTTCTACTCACAATCTCAAATTCAATCCACCATTCAATATCGTTACTAACTTTATCCTAAATATGATGTTCAGTTAAAAGCTATAAATGATATTCAATGAATTATCGTGACCAAGTGATGATGCTATTTTGAGCTGAAAAAAACTGTGACCCGTGAACACCACAACCAGAAAGAATACGTAGAGTGAAATAGTCAAACAAAATAATCAATGGAATGTTTCTTTTTTCTTGTAAAGGAATAATCTATGGAATGTAAACATGCTCGACCCTTCCCTTCCTTAAATTGATTGTGTCGTGATCCGATAATTTTGTATTAAAAAAACTCAAATGGATGAATCAATATATTTAGATTTCTCTTAAAGTTTTTTTCTTTTAATAATTTAGTGGTTGAAATTCATTTTTTAAAAATAAACCAATAAAATATCATAAACTTAAACTCGCATTTGTTAAGTATTAACAAATGTGAATTGGGTGGATAATAGTTCCACATTGGATAGAAATGTGGTGACTTGAGCATTTATAAGTGAGAGAATCCATACACCTATTACCTTAAAGTTTTGGGTGAGTATGTGGTGTGTCTCTCACAAAAGTTGCTCTAGAAAAAAGTCCCACTACCAATAGTAAAAATAATGATATTTTGAGAGTATTGACATTTTAATTCAACGATAAATTACATAGTAAATGCAGTACTAATAAATTGTTAATTGTTATTTAATTAATGACCAATGAATATATATAAAATGTCTCATAAATTGTTGCTAGTACCTTGTTATATTTATTAATCATTGAATGTAATATTAACAGCATATTTAAACTATATTAACCATTTAATATGTTATTGAGTTTTGATGTTAATAATAATATGGTGCATGAAAATAACAATGTTCAGATAATAAATGTATGTAAACTATCTCTCATGTGTTAAGACCCATGCACGCTTATACTTTTAAGGCGGTTCAAAATAAGAACAAAAACAGAAAAGCCTAAAACATTATTAGTAATTAAAAGAATTGTAGAAAGATTAAAAAGAAATGAAAATAAAGAAAAGAAAAACATGATTTGAAACAACGTGAGTATGAGTATTATGTATGCAGTGTGTACTCAGTAACGGTCACATGGATTTTGCTATTTCTACAACCGTGAAAACATTTACACCAACCACCACTCTTTGCTCCTACATATTCCGCTCCAATAACATGCAATTCCAAGTATCACTCATCACTTGTTCTGTTCTACTATATCCTCAATATACATTATGGAAACATGCAAGAAATCTCCTTTGAAGCCATGGAAGAAAGGACCAACAAGGGGCAAAGGTGGCCCCCAAAATGCATCGTGTGAGTATCGAGGCGTTCGTCAAAGAACATGGGGAAAATGGGTTGCCGAGATAAGAGAGCCAAAGAAGAGAACTAGGCTATGGCTTGGTTCTTTTGCCACAGCTGAAGAAGCTGCTATGGCTTACGATGAGGCTGCAAGGAGACTCTATGGACCAGATGCATACCTTAATCTTCCTCACCTGCAACCTCATTCTATTTCGACGATCAAAACTGGAAAGTTCAAGTGGTTGCCTTCGAAGAATTTCATTTCGATGTTTCCTTCTTGTGGATTACTCAATGTAAATGCTCAACCTAGTGTTCATTTAATCCATCAGAGGCTACAAGAGTTTAAGCAGAATGCAGTTGCTGCAAGTCAATCATTTTCTAGTGCTTCGGATGATCCAAAGACGGAAGAAACTCAGAATGTACTAGGCAGTGAGAAGAATCATGCAATTCAGAATGTACTAGACAGCAATAAGAATCATGCAATTCAGAATGTACTGGACAGCAAAAAGAATCATGAAGATGATCCTCCAAAGGAAAAAGATGCTCAGACATCGGTGAATAAGACGGTTGGAAATCTTCAGGAGAAACCACAGATAGACCTGCATGAGTTTCTTCAACAGCTGGGAATACTGAAAGAAGAAACGCACTCCTCAGAGCAAACTGAGAGTTCAGGAAGTTCAACAGTGCATGAAGCTGTGTCAAGAGATGACAATGATCAGTTGGGAATATTTTCAGACATGAATATTAATTGGGAGGCATTGATGGACATGCATGGAATTGAAGGTATTCAGGAATCAGAAACCACCCAGCTTGAAGCAGTTGACCCAAATGACCACCTTAATTTCTCAACTTCCATTTGGAATTTTTAAGAAACTTAGCTGGTTTGTCAAGAAAAGAGGGACTATATGGAGTTGAAATCTAGTTGGAGTTGGTACTCTACTTAGTAACTCAGCCTAAGCTTTAGATCAGACTGTTTTGGTTCTGCTAGTACTCAATTGCTGTTTGTCTTATGTGTGCTCAATTTCAATCTATTGATAGCAATTTAAGAGTAGGAAAGTAGCTAGGAAGGTGCTTATTTTAGTTGTAGTGGCACAGAACATGTCACATTCACGTAATAATGTAATAAATTTTAAGATTTTGACGGATGAACTTTAAGTGATGTTAATAAGCATCATATACTAAGTAGAAAAAAAGATAAATATTATAATTCTAGATAGTTCAAAAAGTAATAATATGGAGACCAATAAATTTTCTCTTCTAAATAAAATGGATTTGCCTTCTTTCTTCAATAAAACATCAATCTTCTAGCAAAAGAAAGATTTTAGAAACCTTCACAGATCTACATCACCAAAATCGACAAATTGATCACATGAGGGCAATAACAGCAATCTTCACCTTGGGCAATTTCGCCTACTAATTCTGGTACTCAGATGCACTCTGATATTCGCCGTGCTCTTCAAAATATTCAACTAACCGCTTTAGAAATCCATCACTACTGACCGTCTCAGTGTCACAGACAATACAGCATTGCCTTCTAGCTCGTGTCACGGCCACATTCATTCGCCTGCGATCACTCAGAAAGCCCACCTGAAACATATATTTCAAGTCTTTTCTTTTATTCTCCATGCCATTTTTACAAGTTTGTCATGTAAGACCTATATGATGCAAATTAAAAACTAGCAGAGTTGTTTAAAATACCTCCTTTTTTGAATTTGATCTAACCATTGATATAATAATGGCTTCCTTCTCCCTTCCCTGGAAACCATCAACTGTTGAGATTTCAATATCCTTCAGCAAGTTCTCCTTGTTTTTCAACATCTTGAGTAAAACAACCTGCCAAAAACAACAGGGACCATACTGTCATCTTTCATAAAACTATTTAAACATGAAGTTTTAGCCCACCTAACATTTATATTAGCAATGTTGTCAAACGCAGATTGCAGAAAAATAGCAGATTGTTCAAATTCTGCTAATTAACAGTGCTTTAGCATCGCTATAACTGCTATTTCACAGAACAATGACAATTTGCTCAAATTCCCCTATGCTATAACACTGCTACATGACACTGAATACTAAAAGTTCCCACAGAAAAATTCCATACCTGAGCAGCATATGGGGTAATGATTCCAATATCAGAAGGAAGCACCCCACTTTGCACTAATCGCTTTGCATGCGCCATAGCAACTTCAGATTCTCCTTCATTAAGGGTGCTGTCTTCTTCATCTTTCTTTTCTTCCATGTCACATCTGAAGCAATCAATATAATCAGCTGGGTTATATTTGGTTTGAATGCTCCTATCAACAACCTATATTTGCTTCAAATCAAATACAATGACTTTCTCTCTCCAGCTTCCACATATCAGTTCAGATGTTTGTTAAAATTCTAATACCGGACACTGGATATTGATTAATCAAAATGCAAAATCATTGTGTACAAAATGATGGTTCAACAGTTTTCATTAGGAAGAGATTGTGGCATCTTTATTCCACATGTCCAGACTAATCGAAATCAGTTCTGATTATAGATATTTCAACAAATGATATCATCCAACATACCCAGTTGTGTCTATGAGAAGAATGGTTGGTTCAGTTGAAGATGTCCTCTTCACATTCTCGAGATCATATAGCATATGTGCAGCAACACTTGGGTGAGCCTTAACCTGTTATCACATAATCCCATGTATGAAGATCTAACAAAAAGTTTATCCCCCAATTTAATCTGACTATTCAGTTCAGGATTGATAAATTCTGCTTTTTTTTATTAGAGGTTTAACAGGAGGAAACATATATATTTTATTGCAATGCAAATATCAAGACGAGTGCTTTGAAAATTAGGAGCACCTTACTGTTGTAAAGCTCTTTAGAAGACCAATCCATGATAAGCTGATGCATACGATACTGGACGGTAAGCATAGATGTGACTTCCTCTCCATACAGTTCTGCAAGTCGTTCGAAGAGGGTTCTTCCTAAGCCCTTCTTCTCAGCTTCAACACTTTGAATGGTTGGAGGAAGTTGAAGATGATCTCCTGCAAGTATACATCTTGTACCCTAAAACAATGAATTCCACTTACTTCATTATAATCAAAGTGACATTTTAAATAATGATTAGAAACCTATGTATTTTAAATTTTAATTCCTAATCAAGTGCAGGTTTACTATTAGTCTGTTAGTTTTGCCAGTTCAAAGCAACTTCTCTTTCAGAGATTATTGGAGGAATGAAAGATGCTGTTGGAGATTATGATTATGAGGGGCCGTAGTTATAGTAAAAGATGATGGCAGCAATAAAACATAACCTAACAAAGGCATGCAATCAAGAGAAGATAAAAAGAAAGTCTAAATGCAACAGTGAAATGAATGTCATTGAATGTAGGTTTAGGCAACAACATTACCTTTAGTAGAGGAATCCAACATGCTATCTCAAGTGCTTGAGCAGCTTCATCGATAATCACCAAATCAAATGAAGTGCGGTCAAGTTTCTTAGTGAAAGCCCCAATCAGAGTAGTTAATATTACATCTGCAGTTTTAATCACGTCTGTAACAGCAAGCTGCTGCCTTTTCCGCTCTTCTCTAGATAGAGTCCTCAGTTCCTTCTGTATTTCCCTCCTTGTATTTTTTTCTTTTGTTTTTAGCAGCTTTCCATTCAATACCTAAAAAATAGTTATATCCCGTGAAAACTGAAAATTAATGTTGATAAGCATTATGCTAACATGAAGTTAATGCCAACATCAATCATCAACGATAACTATCATATGAAACAACAAAACATCAAGTAGGTGACACTAATAATCTTGGTAAATGATAATTCATTCACTTAGAATTGAGATTTGGTTCTGTGAAAAGATCAAGAGAATTAAGAAAGTAGGTTGCCGTAATAATTTTTTGATAATTGTGTTGTTTTACAAGTTTATCATTTATGAGAGAGAATTAGTTAATATACTCATAGTAGTATTGCAGAAAAATATGTAGCATAAGGATATGGTGGTAAAGAAATGAGTAATGAAATTGAAAATTTGAAAGGGGTTTTATAAAAAGGTACAAAGAAAAAACTCGAGAGTACACTTAGGGAGAGGTGGTAAAACCTTACCTTCATTTCTTTCCGAATGTCATTTGCAAGGCCACTATTATCGCCTCGTAGTACCTAAATTCAGAGTAATTCAATATGAGAGTGAAAACAAGTATAATACACGACAAATATAACATTTCATTTGAAGCTTCAATATGACAGAGAGGATGTCCAAATAGATTGCAGTGCGCGAGCTGGATGGTATTGCCTTTTTTCAGTTTTTTGTTGTTTTCTTTTGTAGCCCTAGGAGAATCTTTCCTTTCCTTATTTGCTCTTCGATTAGTTCTATTTATGAAATCTTCTTTTTATTAACAAAATAATAACAGGTTAACAGAGGATAAATACATAACACTGACGCAAATTTGGCTATTTTGCTGATGCTATTGTGCAGTAATAAAAAGAAGTGAAAGAAACCAGTAAGACAAATATTCAAATTTTATCATTTAAACAGGTTTGCTGTGTACCTGAGCATCCAGTGCACTATCCAGTACTTGGGGCAATAACCGTGCAGGATGACCAATCCTCACCAGCTTAACTCTAACATAAATGATAGATATCATGAATGAGAATTGACATGTGGTTTTACACTCTTGATGAAACAAAACCAAGTGAGAACATGTCTCTCCACAGAATGAGGAAATAACAAAATAAATAGAAGCTTTAAAAAAGGCTTGCAAATTATAATTATAATTTCCACAGCATCGTTATTTTGTCAAGGAGAACTCAAGAGTAGGAAAAAGCATATTCATTTCAATCTACTATTACTGATTCTGTAGACAATTTTCTGCAGGGGGTAACATTGTTTATATGTGCTATCCAATGTAAAATCTGCCAATCAGAAACACTAGCCAACTATTATAGTGCCAAACAAAGAGATGATAAAATGATTATACCTGTGTGGAACTAGCCGCTCAACGATGTTGTCAACAGCAATATTTGAAGCAGCACAGACGAGAATCTTAGATCCACGTTTCACTTCTTGTAATATAATTTCCACCACTGTTGTAGTTTTTCCCGTTCCAGGAGGTCCATGTAGTAAAAAAACATTCTTCGACGATAGGGCTTTTGAAATTGCATCTTTCTTTGGAGATAAGAAAATGTAATACATGACTTTAGAAACATAGGTCAGAGCCCAGATGGGCAAAGAAGAAATTTATGAATACTCGTGCAGAAACAACATTATTGTGAAAATAGGGATATGTTGTTTAGTTGTTATCATAAAACCAACGAAAAATAAGATCACAACATAATTATACCACTTGAATTTGATTTGGCATAATTAACAAGAGTTTTTCACAGAACAATCCCACATATCCAGTCCCCTAACCATACAGTAACAAACAGGAAGGAACAGTTTACTGCCCAGGTAGTTAAAGTGAAAAACCACTATTGTATCCATAATTTTGAGTGCTTCAATAATCAACAACGATTATATCAAAACACTTAGCTGATTAATAGGTCCACTTTTTTCCAACCAACTACATGTAGAGCACGTTTAAGGTTTTAGCTTAGTTATCTAGCTCGGATGTAATTGACAAAATTCATGTAATCTCAGTTCAATTGTATATTTCTAGTTATACTTGGACATTAAGGGTCTGCTTGGATTATTTGGGAGCACTACTGTATCCATAATTGTATTCATAATTCTAGTTACCTACTAGCATAAACACTTTTGAGACTATTTGGGAGAGCTTATGAAATAGCTTATGACATGTTCATAAATTGATTCTAACTCATTTCCATAAGCTCTCTAGGATAGCTTATGAAAAGAACTTTTAGCTTATATAAAAATATTTCGGCTTCATTCTATATTTTGTTCTATAAATAGCTTATACATAAGTACTTATATGATGAACACACTAAACACACTTTGAATGTTATTAAACAATAGCGTGGTCAGTGAGTATTGTCATTGGCAGATGGTAGTCCATGGCGGAGAACCAAAATATCGCCATAACATCTGTTTTATGGCGCCGTCGTAGTGGATTATGATGGAAAAACCCAAAAACAACCACTGATATCCGCCGTGGCAGATATTCAATAACACTGAAAGTGGTTAATGATTCAGAATTGAAGATATGCTTTATGAAATCCCTAAATTACAATTCTTTAAATTTCCCTTAAAGAAGAGGCTTATAGACAGCAATAGGAATTATAGAGGCATTTGTGCAAAAAATTGTGAAATATGATTTATACTAATTACATAAAATAGACGACTGTTAGAAAAAAAAATGAAAAGTAAAATGACCAAGCAGGAAATTAGATTACACACCTGAGAGTGATCAAGATTTCTATTAATGGAAGTGAAGGATACATCCTTCTTGGACACTGTTGGTTGCCTCTCCCCAAACAAGACAGGAATTAGATCAGAAGCAGGACCCTTATGCACACCTTTACTCAACTGTACTAATGCCTCTTTCATCCTGTGATATGTCACCTGGATGAACGATAAACATTTTCCGTATATAAGAACCCAGGAGCAAGTAATTGAGTAATAACGTGCTAACATGTATGTTTACAAAAACACACTAGAAAACAGTTAAGTAACTAACCAAAAGTGAGATTCAGAGCATCACAATAAGTTCCTATTTAGTGCAGTTCATATATTTCACAAAAACATACAGTTTTAGTATATATCAAAACGTGCTGAATATCATTTTAGTAGTTAAATTGTCTATAATCAAACCACATAACTATCCTAAACAAAAAGAAATAAGAAGTACCTAGGGAGTAGGAGCTTATCGACATACCTCATTTGCAACCTTTTCCAGCCTTAGGGGACTGTTTAAGCCATCTTCTGGTATATCATCAAAAGCAACAGTAATTGATGAGTCCTGTTAGAAATTGCATCAAACAAGCAAGTTAAATTAGGGCAAGACGTCCACAGCCAATGGCATGGGAAATAATTTTTTTCTTTTCCCAAAGCAAACCAATCAGATACCTTTAATCTGTAAACTACACCTTGCCCAAGAGCAGGAGAACCTAAATCAGCCTTGTTGAGTTTTAAAACAACAACATCATGAGTACCAAACTGCACATAAAAAAATAACTCATTAATTCATGAAAGTAATACAATATTGATTTAATGCATTGAAAATGGCCTTAATCCTTATCAGTGCCAGAAAATGCTTTTGTTTTATGGCATAACAAAAAGGCAAAAGAAAAGATAAACTATGCATTGCATACAATAAAGTAATACAAAACTGCACATAAAAAAATAACTCATTAATTCATGAAAGTAATACAATATTGATTTAATGCATTGAAAATGGCCTTAATCCTTATCAGTGCCAGAAAATGCTTTTGTTTTATGGCATAACAAAAAGGCAAAAGAAAAGAGAAACTATGCATTGCATACAATAAAGTAGGCTTATAAAATACATTGCTAAACAAACCCTACGGAAATTGGTCAACTCAACCAGTAACAGAAGACAGATAAAAGAAAATCACCCCTTTACCTTGTGTGCAGGAAGAACATCTGCTTTTGTGGATTGGAGCTCAATAAGAGACTTTCCCATAAGCCCTGTCTATTTTCAGAGTAAACAACAAAAAGAGAGGCGCAATATAAGAATACAGCATGAATTAAAGCTCCACTTACTACTTTTTTTTTTTTTGAAATCTTGGTATCCGACCTTGCGACCGACTAATCCAAGAGGTTTAAAGCCAGAGTAAAGCTCTGTATGGACTGACCCAACACAAGGATTGGTTGCACCTAGCCGGATTCAAACCTAATGCCAACCCTTGGGGGCAAAGCTCCACTTACTACTTAAACACGCAGAAAAACATGAAGGGAAAAAAATCAACTATAATCATAACTCCTTTTGCTTCATAATCTTATAAAAGGTCTCAAACATTCATGAAATAAGAGAAATATAAAATCAAACTTCCACTTTCATTGGTACTTTCATATTTTCAAATTCCATCTTTCTTTGTCTTTCAACTGTGTCCATTATCAAACCATCAAATTACACACATTGAAAAGAAAAAAAAAACACTTTTTTCCAAAAACACTTGCGCAAAGGGTATTGTGAAAACAATATAGAAGAACTGAAAATCAGGTAACCTGAACATCCACACATTTCAAATTGAGGATTGTTGATCCTCTCTTTTGAGCAGTATCCAAATTCCTGGAAGCACCAGTGGCAATTGAACTCGATATCTCAGCCTCCTGAAGCAAAAACAAAGGGATAAAATTGAAAAGAAGATACATCATTCATTGATACTCTCTGAAGCGACACTGGTAACCATTGTTTGAAAGTTATAGTTTTTTTCAGTGTCCTAATCGACTAAAACACAATCCAGTGAAAAATTGAAACTAGACGGGAAATTAGGGTATTTGAAAGTTGAACCGTAGCGTTTGAGAAGTGAATTGGATTGGAAAAGAGAGAACGAAAGAAGGTACCTTTTCCAAGTCGAGAAGAGGGGCAGTGATAGAGATGAATTGGTCCAAAGAGAGAGGTGGTGATTTCTTCTTAGTCGCCCCTCTCTCCATTGCCACCGGAGAGAGAGAGAGAGAGAGAGAGAGAGAGAGAGAGAGAGAGAGAGAGAGAGAGAGTTAGCGAAATGCAAGTACTAGCAGTAGCACTAAACTCACGTCGCCTGAATCAATTTTTGTGCTCTTCTTTTTATTTTATTTTATTTTTGAAAATCATTTTTTTAATGCCCAAACATAAAAACGTTCTTAGTTTAGGTAGGTTCCGTAAAAAAAATAGAGAGGGAATATGTTAGAGAGAGAAGTTTCTCCCTCCCTCTAAGTTGGTTTTCTTTTTCTATCAACCTAACTCAATGTTTCGAAAGCTTTAACTAAATTCAAAAGGATCCATGAAGTCATCCGTAGGTAGAAGAGGTGAGGAAGAGTGATAGCATGTAGAGAACGTTTGAGAAATCCTTTTTAGCTAAGACACAATGGGGAATAATGGAAGCTAAGGAGATGTATGAAGAGTTTCAATGTTATACTCATATTGATGAAGTGATCATTTCATTCAAGAGAGATATAAGAGGTAGGCGTTATGACTTTGTTAGGTTTTTTTATGTCAAGGACGAAGATCTTTTGGCTGTGAAGCTGAATAACATATTCATTGATCGAAAGAAGATGTTTGTCAATGTGCTTAGGTTTCAAAGGAAACAGCATGTAAAGCCGGGTGAAGCGAGGAGAAGGAAGGATTGGGGTAAGCAACTAATGTTCCATGAGAAAAAGCCCAGGTTCATTAATGAATCCTCAAGATCAATTAGAGGACACTTTTACGCGGACGTGCTGAAGCCTAAGGTCTATCCTTTTGAGTACAATACCAGATGTAAGGTTAAGTTCTAACTAGAGGAATGAGAGCTTTGAAAATTCCGTAAGGTTTTTGTGGCCTTTGATGAAAATCCATGGATGACATACAACATGCATGAACGCTCAATGTTGAAGGCTATTTCTCCATCCAAGACACTCCATTATGAGCTAGTATATGTTTGTCAGAGGATCGGGTGGAAGGAGAAATGCAAACTCTGATGAAGGATGGGAAAGATTGGTTGAAGCAATGGTTCAAAGAAGTGCGTCCATGGAAGCCCACAGATATTGATGATGAGAGAGTTATGTGGATTAGATGATACGACATTCCTATTTAAACACGGAAACCTGGGTTCTTTGAAATTTTGCTAGGGCATTGGGGAGGGTGTCTTTGTGCGGATAATAGCACTAGAGTTTGCACCAAAATGGATGTAGCTCGTCTCCTAGTTAGAACTAAACATTCTAAGGTGTTATATGAGGATGTTGAAGTTCAAACCGATGAGCATTCCTCCAATATTAAGCTTTATGAATACTCACAATGACCTTTGAAAATTCAAATGTCAACTTCCTCTTTTGAGTTGGGCCAGTCGAGTGGCGATTCAAGTTACTTTTCTAGTGATTGACAAGAAAATGATGAAGAGATGGTAGCAAAAATGAACGGTGATGATTTTGGTTCCTCTGATGGGAATAGTGTCGGAGTTGGAAAATCAAGTCAAACAACAAAATTTCAGGATTTGGTGGTTTTCGATATGAGGGATGGCCATGTGTCTCAAGAAAAGGTGAATAATGATACTATGATGCAAATGTGTTTTGAAATTATGTTCCTCAGGGGACAGATGTTGAACACGATGTCCTAGACAACAGGTTTGACAAGTTAAATTATAAACACTACAATAGCAAGTACTACATGATGGAACAGAAAAGCAACAAATAACATGATAGTTATTTACACAATTCGGTGAAACCACACTCACGTCTAGGGGCTGAGTCTACAACCCAGGAAAGGAAATTCATTATCAGTAGTTTAGTACAATTAGTCTTACAAGAAATAACAAATCTTATGTTATCCAATGCCTCTTCCTAACATACCCAGTGATTTTCTATTTAGGGCTCCCTCTAAACATGAGAACCTACTCACTTTCTTCTCAATCACACAACCCGTGATTGGATATTACAAGTCAATAATCAATGTTGAATACTACCACTCAACTCTAGATAAACCTTCTATGTCAAGTTACTGAAACATAGAGGTATACATACATATGTTGAATATATAACTCAACTAGACAAACCTTCTATGACAAGTTACTGAAACATAAAGGTGTACATAAAACAACAAGGATTCTTGTAAACTCTAACACTCTAAAATCTTCAATGTGAATGTTTGACTTCCAATGTAGGTTTTGAGCTCCTTATATAGCATAATAATTATGGGTTTTTCTACTTGAAAAATATCTTTTATTTAGTCTATAATTAATGCAAAATCTATTGGATATTTGATTTGTTCATTGAATATCTTCAACAAAATATGATTTGTTTCAATTTAAATTCAAATTTAAATATGCATTTAAATCTGAATTAATTTTCATCCATCTGACAAACAAATCACCCACCTAATCATATTGTTAAATTAATAACAATAAAATCTTTAACAAATCTTTTGCAAAACATACTCCAAAATGTAGCTTTCTAACGCCTATTGAGCAAGGCCCAAATATCGTACCAACATGTTGGAGCATCGCGCCCAGCATGTGTCTCTTCTAAAGCTTCATATAGCTTTAGCAAGCTAGACCAATCTTAAATACTTAAACATTTCTCTATATTGTTGTTTTTCTAAATGAAGTCAATCCAAAGAGTCAACCCACTAGGAAGTACAATCTCCCTATTTGGAAGCTTGTGGCAAAACAACTCTTCAAGATAAATACACTTCTTCCATCAGAACAAATGGTAACCTTCAGAGCCTACAATCAGCAGCAACATTCATCGTCCAATTATCAGATTTAAGCTTTAGCAGCGGAAAATAAGAAGCATCAACACTCAAATGCTTACACATAATCCATTCAGTTGCTCCAAACAAAAGATAAATAGTGTTTCTTTTGCTCCTCTTCACTTCTTCTTCTACTTCTTCTAATTCTTGATTTTTCTACTTCCTTCTTTGCTGCTATTGTGTTCTGCTTAGGTGGTGTTGATTTATGTTGCTAGGATGAGGTTCAACTTAGCTTAATTAGAGCTTCAATGAAAACCTCTAATGGCTATAGTAAGGAGATTTATGTGAAGGTTTAGGAATATAAAGGTAGTTGTGGATTGATGCTTTCACAATTGTTGGCTCTGATGGTGTGAAGTTATTGGCTCCTGAGTGAATGAATTGCTCAAGATTTATAGTAGCAAGTTAGGTTAACTTAAGTGTGTGAAATGTTGTAAGCGTGTGATAAATAAGAGATATTTTGGTGAGTTTATATGATGAATCGTGTGCGTTGGAGGAGTGAGAATTTGTTGTGATTGTATGAGTTGTAATGGAAAAGAATGAGTGACTCGTGTGGGAGTTTTGCAGTCTGATTTTGTGGGATGGAGGGAGAAAACCGTGTGCATGTTGTATGTTGTATGTATGTTATAATATTACCATGGCTTTGTACATGAATAATCATGATATGGATGAATACAATTCCGCTTATTTTAAATTTTGATTTTGCCCCCCTTATCTCTAATAATGATGATGCAGTATTGGTAATGCGTCATGGATGAAATTGCATTTTTTGAATTCAAATTTGTTTTATTTCATAATGCCATGTAATAGAGTGATGTATGATGATGATGAACATAAATTCGAATGATGATTCAAATTGCTTTCTTTTTATGAGCATGGATGTTTATTGGATTATCATGAATGAGAACTAGAATTTTATCCATTTAATCTTTTTCGTATTGTTTCCCATTGAGTATGGTAATGATTTGAGAAAGATGAAATTCAAATTTGTCTTATGTTTATTTCTCTTTTCATTCACTTTTATTAATTTTTGCAAACTAAACCAAAAAGGATAAAAATGATATGATGAAATTGAATGGTGAATGACTTATGATAATGAATGAACTTCAACTTGTTTTTGTTTAGATTTTAAATGAAGATGATGCTAGTATGATGGGTATCAAATGAGATTTAAATTTGGTCATGAAGTCGTGATGTATGAATATGATTCAAAATTTGTCTTATTCAAATGGGATGCGACGAATATGATAAATGATAAGATAATGGATGAAATGAAATAAAATTAGCAAAATGGTCTTCAAAATCAATTGTTGAATTTTAGTCATTTGATATTGACTTTGACCCCTATTGCATGAAGATGTGATGAGATGACATATGATTATGAGGAATGACTTAATGAATGAAGCCGTGACATAGGTGAAGGGAAATCGCGATAAAAAATTCAACGAAAATTAAAATTTTCTCTTTAGTGATCCTTACGAATGGTCATGATCAGTGATAGAAACGGTTGCCTCTTATGGTGATAAAACCTTTGATGTTGAATCGAAGGAGTGATCACGAGCGTTGAACGATGAACAACGCCTCTACTCAGTCCATACGAACAGATTCCTTTAGTCTCAGTGTTAGATGTTATGATTGAAGGCTTTGAGAGAGTGAGAAAAGGAAAATACGGTTAGGGTTTCACAGTCCGAGTTTTCATCAAGAGTGTATGCTTCTGCACAAGGGTTCTATTTATAGAACCATTTGTGTGGGCTGCAAGCTAAAAAGCCCACTTAAGTGTATGAGCACCATTATGGTGTACCGTATATCACCTAAGTGCGTTGTACCTTACCACATTTTGTATTCTACTAAAATGCACCTTACCTTATGGTGTTCTACATTTACTTAAGTGCATTGTACTTTACAGTGTTCCTTATTTACTCTACATTTTATCAATCTGTCCTTATGTGTGTGACCCTGTAGGTTTTCGCGATGTTGACAATTATATTAAATCACGCATTTAATATAATAAATAGTATGAGGTATCTAGCAACACATCACTGTTATCCAAGTCATGAAAATTTCATGTGATCTGAAAAAACCTTTTGTGATAACACTTGTGTGTACAATTACTTTTCTCCCCATATGTCTATATTGAACACAAGGCATATACCATGTCATCCTTGTCCCGTTCAATATTGGACCCTTAGACATTTATCATATTATGCAAGATGGGTAAATTCCATCTAGGTCACTCATGTTCCTCGGCATGCTTTGTGGAGTACTCATCAACTATCTTTATGGTTATCTAGTTACGGACAATTTTAGATCAGCAATAAAGTACTCGACTCTACATCTAGGGTCCATAGTGATTTCAGGTCAAAGGGTGGTATACACCACTATCAACATGAGAGTAACTTATGACACTTTGCATAACATTCTATGTAGTACTCTCATAGCGGGTTAATCCAGTATAAATATTACTTCTAACATTCATACCTATGTTAAGACTTAATAACTTCTTATCCATGATCTATGAGATGTGATCATCAGTCTATCGACATAATAGTCTTAATGATTTAGGGTTATCTCATTTCACAGTAAATATCGACTACGAATACTTTAAGAATAATGTCCTTATGTTTAATGGGATATCATGATTAAGTCACATTTAATATTTTATTAAATGGACAAGCTATTCTAGGGACTTTATTATTTAAAAAACAAACAAGCATAATAAATAAATGTCTTTTAATAATAATAAATAATTCGATACAAGTACCAAAAGTATTGGCATCTAGGGCTTATACCAACAATAGGGACCTCTCATCCTAGCATCAGATGAAATTCAAGCACCTATAGCCAAATGATATGAAAAGGGGTAAGCATAAAACTGGGATGTGACATAATCGCTCAAAATCGATCAACTCCAAGGACTGACGGTCAACCTGTCACCAGGCCGTCGGTCGTCACCCCACGTGTCATTATCTCCTTTTCACAAACATGTCACTCCACTGACACCTCGATAAGAAGCCCGTCTCGGGGACCATGACGGTCGCCCCGTCACTATGAAGGC